AAAATACTTTTAGTTATATTTTATTTTCTATAAATATAGTAATTATATATTATATCTATAAGAAGTTAATTATATTAATAATCTAGATATATATAATTTATATTAAATATTTATTCTTTTTATACTTATTAAGCTTTAATTAGTAATTTTATATAAATATTTAATAGATAATTATAATATTATTTCTATTAGATTATATAATTTAAAGCTTATTAATTATAGTTTTATATATTTATTTAATTATAGATCTCTTAGAAAGCTTTAGAATATCTCTTTTAAGATTAGGTTTAAAGGGATTAAGCTTTTTCTAAATTTTAAAACTAATTAAAATAGTTTTTAATATAGTAATCTAATTATACTAATAATTAGGATTTTATAGGGTTATATTAATAAAGAGAATCTCCCTCTTTATAATAGAATTAGCTATAATAAAATATTTATAAGTTAAAAAAGCTTCTATTTTTATAATAAGAATATAAATAAAAGAGAAAAAAAGATTAGTAAGAGAAAGAGTATAATAGAAATTACTAGAATAAAAATCTTATCTAAACTTATAATTATTATATATTATATAAGTTTTTCTAATAAAGAAATTTTAAAACTTAGAAAAATTATATATTTTTATAAATAAAAAGAAATTATTCTCTCTATATAAAGAAACTACTATTTACTTATTTAAGATTATTTTCCTACTTCTAGAAAGCTTTATTTAAGATCCCTGATCTAATTAATATACTATTCAGATTAATAGAGGTTATAGATTATAGATTAACTAGGCTTCCGTAGAATAACCCCACGTAATATCGCGTTGCGCAACAGGAACAGTGACAATCTTATCAATCTAATCAGATCGACTAAATGCCTCGAGGTACGTAACGCTTTCCCTACTTCACATCCCTACTGCATGTACCTATACAACTCCACCCGGGCTCATCCATGTAACCTGCAGACAAGCCCGCACTCGGACATGATCAGAGATGCAGCAAACGAACGGAGAATGACATTGATGCGTCGACTGGGCGGTCATTTGGGTGCTAAGCCGTTATATGAGCGATCTTCTTCTCCACCCGCTCCGTCATGGCATTTCGCTCACCAACAGCCCAAGCCATATATATTACGATGCCAGGACCATGATGTTCTCCCTAAACACATCCTACCATTCACATCTTCAAGCGCCTTTCGATGCGCCTTATTGCCCCTCAATCCAGACCAGCGATTCTCTTTCGATTCACTTACACGGCAAAATGCCCAAGCTCACACGTAGAGAGCAGCTCTCCTCCGGGTGGACATTTAAGCAGACGGATGACCCGGACGAGGCTTGGCTACCTGTTGCCCGTGTGCCGACTGTCTCGCACATTGATTTAATTGACAATGGCCGGTGAGATTCCCAGAAGCGCATGCAGAGTCCTCCACTCCGTCCCAGTTTAGCTAATCGTCGTCATCGAGAAAAACAGCATTGCAGATCCGTTCGTCGATATGAACGAACTAGACGTGGAATGGGTCGGCGAGAAATCATGGACGTATCGCACTTTTTTCTCCAGCCCTGAGCTGCTCGCCGGCGAGTCCGTCTATCTCCTGTTTGACGGCCTCGACACGTTCGCGACCGTCAAATTGAACGACGAGGTCATTCTCACGAGCGACAACATGTTCCTCGCCCACAGGGTGGAAGTCACGTCACTGCTTGCTCCGGACAATAACTCGCTCGTTATTGACTTTGACAGCGCCTTGCTTCGTGGGCGGGAAATCGAGAAGCAGCACGAGGAGCATCGCTACCTTGCGCACAACGGGGAGTCGGGACGGCTGGGGGTGCGAAAGGCGCAGTATCACTGGGTATGTTCCTGTATCACTTGCATCAATTGCCCTTTCTATTCTAACAAGTGAATGCCTAGGGATGGGACTGGGGTCCTGTGTTGATGACTGCTGGACCGTGGAGGCCCGTCTCTCTGGAGGTGTCCAGCGCCTCCATCCAAGATGTCTTAGCCAACTACGATGTCCAAGAAGATCTAAGCTCTGTGTCCGGAACAGTCAATGTCGAGTTTGATGGCTCAGTCGACGAAGTTCGCGTCTCGATATCCCATCAGGGAGCTACGGTGGCCACCGCATCAAGCATTCCGGCGGATTCTACTGCAAATATTACCTTTAAAATTCGTTCGTCAATGACCATTACATCCCGCTATTATGCAAAAGAAACTGACTCTAACTGCGGCAGCTGCACCCAAGCTATGGTACCCCAGGGGATATGGAAACCAAGCAATCTACGACGTTGAAGTAGAGATCATCAAAGACCATGTCACTGTCGATCGGTCAGTGAAGAGGACTGGCTTCCGTCGGGCAGAGCTCGTCCAAAATGACGACAAGCACGGCGAATCATTCTACTTCCGAGTCAACGATGTCGATGTCTTTGCCGGCGGCTCATGTTGGATCCCAGCAGACAACTTCCTCCCAAGGATCACGCCGGAGCGCTACAGGAACTGGGTCAAATTGATCGCGGAAGGAGACCAGGTGATGGTGCGGTATGTTTTCTCTCCCGAATCAAGCGTGTAGCAAACCCATTCATCGCTAACACTACCATCAAGTGTATGGGGAGGCGGCGTGTACGAAGACGATTCTTTCTACGATGCCTGTGACGAGTTTGGCGTCCTTGTCTGGCAGGACTTCTTGTTCGCATGCGGCAGCTACCCAGCATGGGAGTCGCTTCGCGAGTCTGTCGACAAGGAGGCCAGGCAGAATCTCAAACGACTCCGCCATCACCCCTCGATAATAGTCTACTGCGGCAACAACGAGGATTACCAGACGCAAGAGTACTACAAGCTGGACTATGTCTGGGACGACAAGGATCCAGAGTCATGGCTCAAGGGCACATTCCCCGCTCGCTACTACTACGAGCATCTTCTGCCCAGAGCCGTTGCTGAAGAAAGCCCAGGCGTCATTTATTGGCCCAGCTCGCCCTTCTCTTCCAAGGGCAGAGAGGCCAATGACAAGAAGGCGGGTGATATCCATCAATGGAATTGTGAGTGAAGAACCTATATGATCCTTTGATATCTCAATCACAAGCTCACATTGGTGAAAGTTTGGCACGGCTACCAGGAGAAATATCAGTGCTTTGACAAAAACGGCGGCCGTTTCGTCAGCGAATTCGGCCTCGAAGCATTCCCTCAACTCTCTACCCTCGAGTCTGTCATCACCAACCCTGCCGAACGCCACCCCAGCTCGCGCACAATGGACTTCCACAACAAGGCCCACGGGCACGAGAGGCGCATCGCCACGTACATTGTCGAGAACTTCCGTCCTGCGACCGACCTCAAGGGCCACATCTACCTATCCCAACTGATGCAGAGCGAGGCCCTCCATTTCGCGTATCGAGGATGGCGACGGCAGTGGGGAGACGAGAGGTTGTGCGGTGGCGCATTGGTGTGGCAGACGAACGATTGCTGGCCCACGACGTCGTGGGCCATTGTTGACTACTATCTCAAGAAGAAGCCTGGTTTCTACGCCATCGCTCAGCAGATGCGGCCGGTCAATGTCTGTGTCCAGCGTGAGCATCATGACTGGAGTGTTGGCCACGCGAGACCAGCGAAAAAGTCTCCCTTCGACGTATGGGTGACAAGCAGCTTGACCGACGAGGTTCGCGGCGATGTTGAGATTCGGTTCATCTCAATACAGAGTGGAAAAGATATCAAAGAGAAAATACGCAAGTCCGGTGTGGTGATTGTTCCCAACGGGACCACGGAGGTTTACGCTGGAGAAACGGACAACGAAAAGGAGGAGCCTCATGTTATCGCAGTTCGTCTCTTTATAGACGACAAAGTGGTTGCAAGAGAGGTGGATTGGCCTCAACCGTTCAAGTATTTGACGTTCCCTGATCGGGGCGTTACGGTTCAAGCTTCGGAAGGCTCCTACATCGTCTCTGCCCAGCGTCCCACCAAAGGTCTAGTGTTTGATGAGGTTGACGGGGTTATACTGAGTGATAATGCCATTGACATCGTTCCTGGTGACACTCAGATCATCTCCGTCACTGGTGCATCGAGTACCAATGCCGTTCCTGCGTATAAATACTTGGGGCAGGAGGAGAACCTCAAGCAGATCGGGGCTCACCATCTTTGAGGGCTAAACATAGCTGCCGGCATCAGTGTCGGCTACACACTAAATTAGGCTCAACACTGTCAAATTTAGATTTTTACATATAGCTGAACTTTGACATGATCCTGAGGACTGTCTGTGATAATTATTTAAAAGTGTCGAGGGTAGAGCGACAACGGAAATAAATTCGAAGAGTGCTGACGATAACGGTCGGGGATGAAACTTTGTGCCCTGGATGCAATCGTGATCCGATGCAGACATAAACCAAGATTAGGCATAACCAAAGAAAAATGAAGAGATATCACAGTCAACCCTCCCTTTTAGTACATACAGGCTCAGTGCTCTTCAAGTTCATATCAAGTTGTGACTCAAGATTATTCATGCCCCTTTTTCTTGATCTAGGGTAGCCAGATTTTAGGGCTACAGGGATCCGAGAGTCTTGAGAGTCTAGACACGTGCGCGTATTCGAATGCTACGTGAGCCACTTTTCTAATGTTACATTGATCACGCACTTCGGATCCCGTGGATTCCGTGATGTGGGGGGAGGAACCGGAAGAGACGAAAACTGGCTGTCTAACGGTCAAAGATTTCACTTGCTCGTCTCGAGAATGATGGAAGCTAGTGTTCCGAGGAGAGAGGAGAAGGAGAAGAAACGGCATGAACAGTAAAGATCTACGGCACTTGCAAAGTGGGTTCCAATAGTGGCATGTTACTCCCACCCCTCTACCCGCTTGCCACCGGATAGATCATCTGATAAGATGATGATTAGATTATCTCTCGTCGAGGAAGGATCACACGAGGGAAGAGGTTTTTTCAGCAGATGGAACGAGGCAATAAAGGGCTATTGTCAGGCATTATGTTGGAGATCACCTGCCTGTTTGGAAGGAACACGGCATTAGACGAACATTAGTCAACCTTGGCCTTGGACACTGAGCGGTAGCTGAAGCCAGGGAAAGCTAAAGCAGCCAAGTGAACTGGAGTATCTCTTTGCTTCGATTCGTCCTGCCGCAGAAAAGTGACGTGACTTAGGGGAACAAGGGCTTGGCTGTGACGCGGGTGGCGGGCAAGGGAAGGACCCGAGCGCCTTGGCGTGCATTCTTGGCTGTTCTTGGCCTGCCAGTGTAAGCTGTGCCCCTGTGAAGTATCGATACTTCGGACAATGAGACTTGAAAGTCTCTATACATCCATGTGTTTTGTTTGGCGACGGTACGATCCAGTGGAGCTTCATGTAGGATGGAGGGTAGCAGCAAAACAAAAGTGCGGCAGTAGAGGTTCCGAATTCGGAGACAAGCAGGAACAAGGCGACACACGATGAACCAGATGGAGCTCTTTTTTGAGAGCAATGCTAGGTTCATGGGCTCTAGGTGGAGTGGGAGTTGGGAAGTAATGCCAAGGGAAGAAGCGGGCGCTTGATGCTATCTCAGCTGATATATCAATAATCCATCTTTGCGGCAGGTCCTCGAAGCCCACAACCCCCTCCAAGTGATCACTGACTTAAAGTTCACCCCATAAGCAATCATGGCTGAGGAAAAGCGAGTATTGATGCTCACAAATGCCGAGCTCGGCCAGGCAAACATCTTCTTGGCTGTCGGCCATGAACTGGTCAGCCTTGATCCCTCACTGAAGCTGCATATAGCTTCATTTGCCCCTCTCGCGAAACATGTCAACTCAATTGGCATTTCATCTTCGTCCGCTGATGCCAAATCACACCCAAATATCAACTTCATCCCGCTCCATGGCCCCTCGTGGAAGGAAGCGCTGTTCGGGCGATCAGAGCACCAGTTCCAGGAGCTCTGCGATATGCGGCCGACGGTGTGGAATGTCGGCAAAGCGGCCAAGATGACTCGCATCGCCTGTCCGTGGACCTCGGAAGAAGTTTGTGCGCTGGTCAAAGAGATTGAGCAGATCATCGAGGATGTAAAGCCAACCGCCGTCGTCGTGGACAATCTGTTCACGCCGGCCGTCACGGTGTGCTACAAGGTGAAGCCCAACTGGATTGTGCTGTCGCCAAACACATACAAGGAGTTTATTCTGGCCAAACAGCCAGACCAGCAATACTACTGGAAGTATCCTCCGTATGTCCCCCTTTCAATTTAACAGAGACCATCACAATGATAGACCTTGGATGACTGACCTGCGCGACACTCTTCCAGCCCGCGGTCCACGGTGCCATATCCTGTTCCATGGTATTACTGGCCTATTGTCTGGTACATGGTCCGGACCATGTACTTGAATCACGACGACACGTGGATGACAGATCATGCGAAACAGATGAAGGAGAAAATCGACACCGACTACGCCGACTGGGCCTACATTTCCATCGTCCCCCCCGAGGGACTGAAGGTCCTGCTTGCCAGCCGTCCCGAGATCGACTTCCCCTTCGACGCCATGCCAGATCACATCACCGGCTGCGGTCCCATTGTCCTGCCCTCTCCGCCGCTCAAGAAGACCGACCCGAACCTCGACGCGTGGCTGTCGCAGCACCCAACGATATACATCAACACGGGCACGCACGCGACGTACACCGAGCAGCAGGCGGTCGAGATGGCCGGCGCGCTGAGACACCTCCTCACAAAGGGGGAGAAAAGCAACAAGACGCTCCAGATCCTCTGGAAGTTGAGCAAGCGCGGCGAGTACGAGACCGGAGAAGGATCAAAGGTGTTTGCGGCGCTGGGACTCAAGTTTGGCGAGTTGGTGCGCATCACCGAGTGGATTGACCCGGACCCGATTGCCATTCTCACCAGCGGGCACATTGCTTGCTCGGTCAATCACGGCGGCGCGAACTCCTTCTTTGACGCGCTCAGGTGAGGCTTCTCCTCCATATGCTTCTCTCTTCAAAGCTTTTGAGCTAACAGAATCGTCTTGTTTACAGTGCCGGCGTCCCGCAGGTCATCCTGCCTGTCTGGGGCGACACCTACGACTTCGCCAAGCGCGTGGAATGGCTGGGCATTGGCAAGTTCGGCAGCCCCTGGAATGCGCCGCAGTGCTCTGCCCGGGAGCTGGGCCCCATCCTGGAGCAGGTCGTACTGGGACCTCGCTCCAAGTCGATGAAGGAGAAGGCCCTTGAGCTGGCGCAGCTATGCGAAAACAACGGCGGAGGGAGGCGGGTGGCCGCCCAGAAGATCTTGGAGATGCTGTAGGCGGAAGATACCACGGATACGACATATGCTAGACCTTCAAAAAAAAAAAACAATCACAATACGTCTTGATCTTCTCGCTTGATTTAAGTTCCTTCGGAATCGTTCTGGTTACTACGGACTCAAGGATTCTCTCCTATTGATCCTCTTGTGACTGCCGTCACATCCATCATGCGCCGCGAAATGTCAAATTTCTCGCTGGACCCCTACAGTCTGTTGACTGATCGATTAGATGGCATCTTTTAGCGCTTACATCTCCACTGGAAAAGGTGGAATTCACCAGCGTATCGCGTATGGGCACACGAGGTTATAGTGGGGGAGATCCATGACGATAATATCGCAGCCAGCAGGGAGCAGCCCACACGCTGTAGGTTGTCGATTCGACCAGGATCTTCTGGAAATGGAACGAGAGGGAGAGCAGAGTCATGTTCAGCATTGTGGGCTGAGCCTTGGCGTGGAGTCTGCCTTTTGCCTGCAGAGTTGAGGGCAATATCTGGTATGACAGACCACTTCGATGTCCTGACCCGACGGGTCCTGGCCAATATATCCAGGGCTGAAGAAAAGCCTGCCCTCGGCCCGCCTGATATGCTATCCGCTAATGAAGTATGTACAATGGAGAAATGCCAACGTTAATTCTCACTTTATTCACGGTATCCAGCACGGTGCAGGGGGAGCTCCACTGCTCACTCGTGTCCCCCGAAATGAATCTTGATTTCTAATTATCGTTGCCTCGGAAGTGGGAAAGACGGTGGTGCAAATATCACTGTCCTCAGGGCAGCATTGGGCCAAGACGCTCTCCCAGTCTGACCACTCGGAATTTCCCGCTTCCACGCGTCCGGGAAAGGACCGCCGAGCGCAGCTCAATGCAGGTCGCTGAAAGAAGGGAAATGGTCGTGCCCATCATCTTTCCCTATTCCGTCGGTAGCCTATGCCGCAGCCAAGGGTGTCACTCTCATCGCGCCACCTGGTCGCTGATGGTTGGGGGTGGATGAGCGCGCTGATCACTTCACATGCTATTCACGATGGGCGAAGAGGTTGATCGGGGAATCACTGTGATTAAGAGAGCCTAAGCTAAGTATTTTGAAAAGAAGAAGTAAGGAGAGCCTCCCCCCACTGGTATCATGTAACGAAAAGAAAGACCACCATCCCATCCCCTCCTGCATGCATTACTCCGTAGTGGGTATTCATCCAACAAGCTGATCTCCCGAGCTGAAACAGCCCGTGTATCAGACTCATCGCGAACCCGTCCCTGCCCATTTTCCATCTCCAATTTTCGACTTCGGGGTTCTTCGACGCGACTGGCGCGATTAGAAGACGTTGCCCTTGGTCTGCTTGCCGCGCTCCTCCTCAATCTTGCGGATGTTGATGTTCTTCCACACGAAGATGGAGAGCACGCAGAGGGGCATGAGGCAGGCGCCGGTGATGACCATGAGGCGCATCACGTGGGCGTACGAGTCGACAATGGCCTGGCGCTCGGGGGTTCCATCGGCAAACTCCATCTGCATGGTGATGTTGGCGAAGATGATGCGCGACGTCTCCTTGGCCGCCTCGGGGAGGCGGTTGTTGAGCTCGGTGGGCAGGATGTTGTTCCACAGACCACCAGCGATGGCGTAGCCGATGGCAGCGCCGACACCACCGAAGAGGCCGGCCAGCGCGTTGACGACGGCAATCTCCTGGTGGGTGACGGGGGCCATGATGGCGATGGAGCTACAGGTGGTGAAGAAGCTGCTGCCAAGACCAACGAGGAGCTGGGTCACGGCCAAGACGCCGGGAGAGGCGTCGGGGCTGCGGTAGGGGATGAGCAGGGCTGTGCCGAGCAGCATGATGGGCACACCGGTGTAGGCGGTCCACTTGAAGTCTCCGGTCCAGCTGATGATGCCACCGATGATGGGGGCAGTGAAGGTGGCAGTGAGGGAGTAGGCGTTGAGGATGTACAGGGCGTTGGTGATGCTCTGGCGGTGCACGACCAGCAGGTAGGAGTAGTAGTATCCGTTCCAGGTGAAGGTGGACAGGAACATGATGCCGTACAGCAGGCAAGAACCAATGATTGTGCCCTGCTTGAGGTACTTGAACGGCAGGAACTGGACAGGCGCGAAGTTGCGCTCCCAGATGTAGAATGCGGGAATGAAGAGCACGCCGAGGACAATCATGGCGATGATGTAGCCAGTGGACCATCCGTTGGGGGCATAGGCAGCCAAGCTGAATGGCAGCAGCAGGAAGGACAGCGCAGCCGAGATGAGGAAGATGCCAAACAGGTCGAACTGGACAGCATAGTGCTTGAAGCTCTCGATCCAGGTTCGCCCGCTCGCGGCTCTGGGCTTGAGGAGGCCCTCCTTCTTGGCCTTGCGCGACATGACCACCATGAGACTCATGGCGGGCAAGCTGCATCCGACGAGGATGAAGGCAAAGGCACCGAATGCCCAGCGGAAGTTGGAATGGGTGTAGAAGAGCTGACCAATGGGGGCGGAGGCAAAGGTACTGGCAATGCGAGGGGTGCCGCTGAGGCCGATGAGGATCATGCGGTTCCTGAGGGTGGTGATATCGGACAGCATGACCTCAATCACGTACAGCACACCGATGTGGCCAGTCCAGTACATGACAGAGCCGGCGACGTAGGTCTCAATGTTCTGGCAGGTGGCCTTGAGAATCATGCCAATGACGCACACGGTAAGCATGAAGACGAAGCCCTGGACACGGCCCCAGATATCAATGACCTTGGCGATCGTCAGAGGGATGACACCTCCGATGATGGTGGACAGGATACTGGCAATGTTGAGCAGACCGTGTGCGCCGAAGCTGGAGGTGATGTAGGGGTTGAGGGAAGAGTCGATGCCATTCTGGAGATAGTCGACAAAGGAGATCAGGTAGAGCCTAGACAGCGTTTGCGTGTCAGTCAATCAATGGCACGCGACAATGATCATTCAGATAACAGAGCTCGACTTACAATGCAAAGAAGCTCCAGAGAGTCGACTTGGACCAGATGGTGGTGATGGCTCGGACGCGCTGAACACCCTCCTGGAACTCATTATGGTCCGAGTCAAAGCCGTCGTTGCTGCTGCTGTGGTAGACCTCCTGGGCATGGGGATCACCGCCATTGCCCTTCTCCGAGTCGAGATGAGCCTCGACAGGGTGGGCAATGTTCTCGTCGCTCTTGGTGACGGCCATGGTGGATGTGAGGATGAAGGCGAGCCGTCTGTGTTCAACACAGGCAAGAAGAAAATCCAAGCGGGAGACGGCGGACTTATCAATCAAACCCGGGGTCCCTTTCTCGGCAAGTGAGACAGCAGAGCGAGCAGAGTGGGGGAAGCACACTCTGTTCTGCAGTGTTATAGAGAGGGGTGACTTAGCCGAGAGGTCGACCTGTGCCACTCCCGCCGTGCAGAGCTTAATATATCTACCCGAAAGGCTCGTCCGATCAAGCTTGTTTGTTCACGAGGACCAGACCCGCATCATTTTCTAGCCTGACCGGCAGGTTTTTTGCCCTGTCGTTGGTGCGTCGAGGCTGGAGTCTGGGAGAAATGACACACGGAAACAGCCTTGGTCCCACGCTGTCGCCACATGAGCGAGCCTGGGACGAGAGCCGCGAGTCTCGAATGTGCAAAGAGCTCCGAGCCGGAGCATGGCGAGCGAGCAAAGTGGCATGGATGGACATGCATCCTTGGCCGAGGGGGGGAAGGGAGCAGGGCGCCGGGCCTCAAATCGGGCCTTGGCGAGCCAATCCTTCGCCTCTGAGATGGCTCCCAAGTGGCTTTTTGCCTCAGCTGGCGTTGGCCCTAAGATTGATCAGATAAGATCGATAGTCGGGGTCGTATGATAAACCAGGACGCGGCCAACCACCACCACCACCCCCTTGGCCTGCGTCGATGCATGCACGGGAGGAGCCTGGCCGGTCACTGCCAATCACACCGTCACGCTGGGCAGGCCGAAAGAAGCTTTGCTCGCCCGAGGGCCATGCAAGCTGCCTATTCCAGACCCCAGTGTCCCTCGCGTAATTTCGTGATCCCGGTCCAAAACTCGCTCGCAGCGCCATCACGCCCAACGAGGGGAGCAGATCGCCCCCGCCCTCTATCCACATGCCTCTTTCCTAGCGCCAGAAGCTAGTTTGTGAAAATTCTAGGCCAAGCCGATGGGAAGAATTTGCTTTTGATGGAGTTGACGCTGCCCTGCTGCGTTGGACCCTCGAGGCATTTCTGCTTACCCCCTCCTTTGCCCCAAACGGACAAACCACCGCCGTCTGTGTTGGGTAGCATTTGGTGTACGTACGTCTCTCCCCAGAACGGTAGCTGTTGAGACCTTGGGGGCCTTGACCCTGGTCAGCCAGCTGCAAGCAAAAGCAGGCTTGGTCCCGTCTGTCCCGTGCTGTCACACGGAAAGCAATGAATCACATCTGCGGCTGGGAACTCTCGACCTGGACCCTCTTTGGCTCCTGGAATTCTCCATGGCCGGACGACCCAGAGCCGATATTGAGTTATCTGGCTCCATTCCCGTCTTCTGACCGCCATGGGAAATAATAGTGAGGAAAAACTTGATCGGCTCGCCGCCAATAGGGGACCATACTACCGAGCAAAGCTTCAATTTAGTCGATGACCATGTTGGCTCCGTCTACGGAACTATCCATATTCCTCTATCCACTCTCAAGAGACCCTTCCCGGGCTTTGTTTTTTCCAAGGAGAATATTTCCCGCAAACTAAGCATCATGTAGGCTGACCCTAAAACTCAACCTTACTCCCCATCCGCCAATAGTTCGAGGATGGCCTGCGTGGCAATTTCTCGGCCCTCCCCACCGGCCTGGCATGCCTTTGCAATCACTGCGGCTCTCTCCCTGATTCGCTCCGCCTCCCGCCCGAGCACCACCTGCCTGAGCACGGGGGCCAGCTCGTCCTTGGAGAGACTGGGCGCGTGCTGCCGATTGCCGATCTTGCCAATGCCCAGATAGTCCACGCGGCGCGCAAAGTCATACGTATCGAACCAAACCGGAAGTACCACTTGGGCAACGCCGGCGC